GGAGGGGGGACAAGAAAGGAAACAATGTGGTAAAAAGGTACAAAAGTAAAAGAAAAGGAAGGAAATGAAAAAGAGAAACAAACAAAAAATAAATACAAAGGTGAATAATAACCAAAAGGGGGATTCAATGACAACAAAAATGAAAAGGTGTGGAAAAAGTAGACAAAAGGAGAAAGGCTTTGAATTGCATAAGAAAGAGTGACAATGTGTCTCTCCAACCCCTTGAAAAGAAGTGAAAGACTCAAATGTGTCAAGAAAGTGTGCCAAAATAAATTAAAAGAAGTGTTTAAGGGAAGGCTGAACCCACTTGAACAAAACATGTCTTACCCTTACCCAAAAGCCTTTACAATGACTCCACAAAAGCCCTATATGATCTTGAGTTGGACGAAGCCTACATTAATGGATACTTACACGAGGGGCAAAAATATGGTACTTAGATCCAGACTTGTGATCTCCTTCTTGAGAGAGATGAGTGAAAATCTACCAACCTCGGTTTGTGTGTAAACACTCTAAAAGGTGAGGTTCACTGAGGGAGAATTGAGGATGTGTGAGTTTGGGTTCCACAATGACCAAAGTAATTAAGAAAAGATCCTTGATGAAATGTGTCAACTCTTGACGCTCTTGTGTCACACTTGATCCGCAAGTTTCAAAGTTTAAATGTGTTAATGATGCATTCGTATTGAGGGTAATTGTTAGTCACAATTGATGCTTGTCAAGGTTGCTTTAGGATAAGATGGAATTGCTTGGATGTTTCCTTTGAGTGGTGGGTCTTATTTTGTTTGCTTGAGGATAAGCAAAGGTTTAAGTTTGGGGGAGTTGATAAGTAGGATTTTAACATGTTTTATACCCATACTTGCTTGCGCTTTCAATATAATTTGTTATAAAATAGTCCCAAAATGATTACAGATTGTGGTTGATTGCAGGTTTGAGTGATATAGTGACAAATCGTCAAAGATCGGCTCAAAGGGGAGTGAAACTTGCTCAAGTATCAAACATTATTAAAGTGAGGAGATGCCGCATTAGTAAGATACTGCATAATTACAAGTCCAACTCTTGCAGTGGTTAAATTAATGCGATATGCGCCCACCTCATGCAGCCCCACAATCTTGCTATGTGGTAGCGCCAAAAAAGTTCAAAGAGTGACATGTTCCAGTAGTAGATCACGCGGCCGCGATTGAGATATCGCGGTCCATATCAACTCCATGCGGCCGCATACTCTAGTCATGTGGTCCGCATCCACAAGGGTTCAGAGAAGGTGCTTAAACAGCCATGCAGTCGCGCTGCATCTTCACGCGATCCGCATGTACCCCTCTCGCTGGCGTGTGCCAACTTTCTGCCATCTGCATCGACTTCTTCAGAGAGCAACATTTGGAAATAAAGCAACCTAGTGCGGCCGCGATCGTGTTTGTGCAGCCTGCATTGACTCCGCATGGGCATTTTTGTCCAATTTTTCAAACACACTATAAATAGAACATTTGCCATTTTTTGGTTAAGTTTTGTATACCAGACAGCAGTTGTGCTCGTGCGATATTTGTTTTAGCCAGTTTTGGCATTTTTAGCTTATTTCATCATAGATTATCGTAGTTTAACATTAGCAATTAAGTAATATGGTTATTTCTTCTTCTATTTCTTTAATTTCTCTTTCTATTATGTCTAGCAAAACCCATTAGCTAGGATTGTGGCTCGACCCTGGTGTGGTTATTTTATGTTTGATTGATGTTCGGTGTTTGGTATTTGGGTTAATTTTATGATTTTATTATGGATTGGTAGTTTCAAACACTAATTCTAGCTTAGTAGGTCTTGACTGTTATTCAGAAAGAAAGTCTATGACCCCAAAATTGACCCAACAAGGAATTGGGATGGACCCATGGGAATGGTAGTCCTAATTAACGGGTTAAACCTAGGGAGAGTAATTACCCAACTTGAACCCTAAGTTGCTTGGGCAAATTTGCATACCCAATTAGTCTCGAGAGAGTCAATTGAGCAAAATCACTGTTTCTGCCAAGAGGTGTGAGAGTGAGTGCAATCGTGCAACAACTATAACATAAACCCCATAATCACCAAACTTGCATTAGGAATCTCTACCCGTTAGTTAACCACCTAGGTAAATGCCATAACCCTAGTGCCTATCTCTATCTTGCATACAACTTAGAAATCATATCTTTAGCATAATTTAACCTTAATTTGTAGTTGATAAATTCTAGTTGATAAAAGAAAATCCCATAAGTGTTAGGAGTGAAATTAGAAGCTAAAGCACAACTTCAAGCCACTACTAGAAAACGAATTTATTGGAATGGTTTTTGGGCAACGGTTCTATAACCGTTACAATAGACCATCAATTGGAACGGTTGTAACCGTACCCATATAGTCAAAAGGCATATAGCACACCTCTGGACAATAACCGTTCCAATAGCTTCGAAACTGTCCCTATAAGTTAAAATATAGAGACGGTTTTTATATGCGATACAATAGCATTGTTTAGGGGAACGGTTTTGCGAAATAAAAAACTATAGTAACGGTTCAATAATTTCCCTCCTAGGTATTTATTTTCCCTCCTAGCTATTTATTAAAAAAACAAAAGTAGTGGATCCCACTAATATTTTATAACTCTAAAATGTAAAACTAATTAAAAACCTAGAAGACATCGACACTCCCCCAATATCTCTGAGACTCAGAAAACATAGCTTTCCCTTTTCTTCAACAATTATCGTCGCTTTCTGCTTCAACAAAGCGACAAACTGTCGACCAGCTCCGGTGAAGGACCATAATTTCCGGTGAAGGACGACCAATATCGGCTAACATACCACAATCTCCGAGGTAGGCTTTCGATTTTTTACCCTGTTCTATGTTTGCTATTACTGTTCGATTTTCGATTTTTTCTTCCCTAGTCTGAAAATTTATTTCATTGTTCCTTCTATTTTATTTCTTTGATAATATTTCTGAAAACCCAATTATTTTGCTTCTGTTTTGTCTGTTTTATGCGGTTTATTTTGTGATTTTTAGTTTGCGAAATTGGAGGATTTATTTGTTAGGTTTTGATTTTGTGTTAGAAACCATGAAATTTGATGTTTGCTAGCAGTGTTTGATGATAGTATGATGCCATAGTGAATGCTCCCTACACTGTTTTCTATTCATTGTAGCAATGAATAGATGAGGGGGATACAATTTTAGTGATGCAGCAAACTGCTTTTTAAGTAGATCTGCTCCATATTGTCGTTACTCGTTAGTATGAGTACAACATCAAGGGGGTCATATTTGCAATAATGTTGCTTGCATAAGAGATTCTTTTCTTTCCTATACAAGTAACCTTTTACCGAACCGATTTCTTTCCATTATTATATTATCTCCAATTTTTTTATTTAATAGAGGGTAACAGCGATGTCTTCTTTATAGTGGAATGTGGATAATGGATAATGGATTCATACAGCTATATGATTCAAGTTCACCAAATAAATAGATTTAGAGAGGAGAGAAGACACACCATGCTATTGTACTATTGATTATTTGTTAACATTAAAAGAAAAGAGAGAAGAAAAAAACTTTTAGATAAGCCCCCCAATAGAAAGTTTAGTCAAAAATCTTTTTGAAAGTATAAAGATTGAAAAAAAAAGGAATGATTTTTGGATGTTTCTGCGAATTATTATAATCCACCCCAGGAATAAGAGACCTGGTCAAGAAGTACTATGCAGTCATTATGCTATTGTGCTGCTAGGGAAAGAGATTCCTATAGTGGTATTAGAATCTAATAAGCAACACAGATGGATGTAGGGGTGGGCATATTACCGACCGAACCGAAAAAACCGGCCGAATCGTGAATTTAGGTTTTTCGGTTTCGGTTTAATCGGTTTTTCGGTCGGTGCACGGTTTTAAAATTATTAATTTTCGGTTTTTCGGTGCGGTTTAGGGTTTTTGTATTTCGGTTTTCAGTTAAACCGAAAAACCGAAATTTTTAATCGACCCATTGAATCCCCTGGTGTTTGCAACGTAAAGATCTGGTGTTTGTAATCGACGAGAAGCCCCATGACGTTTACAAAAGAGACGAGAATGACCTTATTAGGAACTACAAAGTAACTTCAGCAGAGGCATTGGGATGAACCAGATTGAAAGTCACTAACCTAAAACGAAACCAATCCCAGAAACAAATTAAAAACAATAAATGCTCTATGCAGTTTTAAAAAGAAAAGAAAAGAAAATTAAAACCCTACTAATTTTTTAACTTCATGATCAAACAAAATGAATCACTTTCATAGCAGATATCTTAAACCCCAAGTTTATTTACCTAAACTTTACAATCAAACACATTACATATAAAATATATACCATTTAGATATTTTTTTATAATAAACTTAACTCATGGTTTGCCAATAATAGATAAAATAATAATAATAAGAAAGAAGAAGTAGTAAGTTATATCATCTGATGGAAAAGAGAAAAAGGAAAAGAAGAAGCTGCAAATTTTGCTTTATTTAGAAAAAAATGGCACTTACATTTGACTGATCAGTAGATGCTACGCTTTTGCTTAAAGTGCTTTCACTTTTACTCGGTATAGAAGTTTCCAGTGAATGAAATTGTGAAACCTGATTATGGTACCATTCTATATCAATACTGTTTTATTGAGGTCAATGTGTGAATTTTTCAGTACAAGATATTGTGAGCAGTTTATTATCTGTTTCTTTGAATTTAGCCAATGTCAAGAAGGCCAGTTCATATACTCTAGCATTTGATGCATCTTTAGTCTGTGAAGTATTGCAATAAAGGTGGTATTGTATGTTAATTTGAAAGGCGTTGCTTTTTATTTGCATATATGTGGTAGATTTAATTGTATTGTACATAATTATATAAGGACAGTCTTCACTGTTCCTACAAGTCTACAACCGTTTGAAACCGAAAATATAAACCGGAAATAACTGAACCGAACTTTGAAAAAATCGCACCGAACCGTAAATACTTTAGTTTGATTTGGTTATTAATATTACAAAACCTAAAATCGATTAACCGAACCATATTTTTATAATAACCGACCGAACCGACCGATGTCCACCCCTAGATGGATGTTTAAATTATTGGAGTGGAAAAGGCTGTGGGTGTTGAGGAAAAAGAAAGGGAAAGACAGACTTGATGACTGGTGAGAATCTAATTTTTGCACTTTGTACTAAGGTAACAGTTTTATCACTAGGTACTAGTCAATTATTGGTAATGTGAATATGTGATGTAAATGATAAATTATTTTCAAACATATGAAATAAACGAAGAGAACAAAAATATGAACATTTGAAAAGTACTGTTCTTTTACTCTTCTTCTTCTTTTATTATGCTTTAACCAATTGTTAATTTAGTTAACCAAAATCATCTTCTATTTACTTTAAATCGAACCTCTTTTATTATCCTATTTTTGTAGTACATTTGAAAAAGGAACAAAGACATGAAAGTTGGATCAACTCATTTACTGTTATTTTTTCAATTGCCACATGTATTATTTATTTATTAAGTCTTACTTTGTTTTGTTTTTAGAGCATAGTATATGTGCATTGTCCTAACAATTTTTTCCATTGCCGCAATTAGAGAAACTGATTTAGTACTTAAGATATGTTAATCTGATTACTTAAATCTTTTCTCTAGTGTCTCAGACATTGATAATTGGAGATTCTATGAATCAAGATTCATCTCAAACAGAGATAGCACTGTCCAAACACCTTAAACTTTCTATCTTTCTTATTATTTAATTTTTTTATTAGGAGTATATAAACCAATTCTATACTACTTGTTTTTGGTTTTATGTAGGATAAAATTAATTTAATGGATAATGGAGATAAAAGGTGGATGGGCCTTCGAAGGTCAACTGATGAGTACATACAAGGAGTGAATAAATTTCTTGATAAAGCATTTGAACGAGCTTCCCAAGGAAATCAAATATTATGCCCTTGTAAAGTGTGCGCTAATTGTTTTTGGTATCACAGGAATGTAGTGGAAGACCACTTGATTGTTAATGGTTTTGTTCAAGGATACACCAAATGGGTTTTCCACGGGGAAGGATTTTCCTCGAGAAAGACTCGACGCCCAAGCAGTAATGATGAAGGTTCTGACATGTATGACTATATTGATGGATTACTTCATGATACATTTCGAAATGTCGAGGATGATTTGGGACATGAAGGAGTGAGGGATGGACCATCAGATGATGCAAAAAGATTCTTTAAATTAGTAGAAGAAGGGAAAGAAGAATTATATCCAGGGTGTGAGAATTTCTCCAAATTAGGTTTTACGATTCGGTTGTACTTGTTTAAATGCATTCATGGGATGAGTAATGTGGCATTCACAGACTTGCTGGAGTGGTTAAAAGAGGAATTTCCATTTGCACAACTACTTGAGTCTTTCTACAAGGCAACAAGCATGATAAAAGATTTGGGTCTTGGTTATGAAAAAATACATGCATGTCCTAATGATTGCATGTTATTTTGGAATGACAATGCAAATATAGATACTTGTTCTGTGTGTGGGTCTTTTAGATGGAAGAATGTTGTTAATGTCTTTACTAATAAAAAGACCAAAACCCCTGCAAAAGTTTTAAGGTACTTTCCATTAAAGCCTCGGCTTCAGAGGATATTCATGTGTCCCGAAACAGCTGAAGCTATGAGATGGCATGCCACTAAACGACCGAATGATGGAAATATAAGACATCCTGCTGATGGTGATGCTTGGAAGGAATTCGACTCCTTGCACCCTGAATTTTATAGCGACCCTCACAATGTTAGATTGGGTCTTTCAAGTGATAAGTTCAACCCGTTTCGAACAATGAGCATTTCCCATAGCACATGGCCTGTTATGTTAATGAACTATAATCTATCGCCTTGGATTTGCATGAAGCCAGAGTATATAATGTTGTCAATGATCATCCCAGGTCCGTCATCTCCGGGAAATGATATAGATGTGTATCTACAACCGCTAATTGCTGAATTGAAGGAACTATGGGAATTCGGGGTAGAAACATTTGATGCTGAATCCAACCAGATGTTTCAAATGCGTGCAGCATTAATGTGGACAATTAGTGATTTTCTTGCACTAGCAATGCTTTTTGGATGGAGCACAAAGGAAAAATTTGCATGCCCCACTTGTAATTATGGAACATGTTCTTAATATCTCAAGCATAGTCATAAGATGTGCTACATGGGTCATCGGGCATTTTTGCCTCCTGAACATCGGATTCGAAGAGATAAGAAATCATTTGATGGCAGGGAGGATCATAGACTTGCACCTACTCCTTTGTGGGGTATAGAAGTCCTCGAAGAGTTGCATGAATTAAAGAATGTCTTTGGAAAGGGCCAAAAGAAAAGGTCTCGGGATAACAAGTGTCCATGGAAGAAAAGATCCATCTTCTTTGAACTACCATACTGGATAACTAACAAATTGAGGCACAATCTTGATTCAATGCACATTAAGAAAAATATATGTGATAGTATTCTCGGGACATTATTGGAGACAGATGGAAAGTCAAAAGATCATGTAAATTCTCGTTACGATTTGCAAGAAATGGGAATTCGAAAAGAGCTTCAACCAATACAAGATGTTGTAAGTGGAATAATTTCTTTGGCTAAAGCTTGTTTCTACATGAATCCAGAAGAGAAGAGGCGATTTTGCACCGTCTTTAAAAATGCCAAATTGCCAAAAGGTTGTGCCTCGAATATATCACGTTGTGCGCATGAGAAAGAGATGAAAATATCGGGGTACAAGAGTCATGATGCTCATTTTATAATGCATTACTTGCTCCAAGTTGCTGTTAGAAAATCATTACCCAAGAATGTTTCTTTGGCATTGATTAGGTTGGGAAACTTCTTTACAGCCATATGTGCTAAGGTTGTAAGGCGAGAGGATCTTGATAGATTGCAGTATGAAATTAATGAAATTACATGTGAGCTTGAAATGATGTTCACTCCAACCTATTTCGATATAATGCCTCATTTGCCTGTTCAATTGGTAAATGAAATTAAGCTTGGGGGTCCAACTCATTGTCGTTGGATGTATTCCACTGAAAGAACCTTGTGTAAGTATAAGGCGTTTGTTCGTAATCGAGCTCATCCAGAAGCATCAATTGCAGAGGGGTTTTTGGCTGAAGAGTGCTTGATTTTTTGTTCAAGATACCTACATGATGGGGTGAAGACAAGATTCAGTAGGTACCAAACTGAGGATGATGGGGACATTGAAGGAGCAAATTTGTCACCTATATTTCCTAAAATTGGCCATCCAATTGGAAGTGAGAAAAAGAGAAAAGGAAAGATTTTCCCCATGGATTTGCAGTTATGTTCCGAGGCTCATAGGTATGCTCTTTTCAATACTGAAGATGAACAAGTGGAGGCGTTTATCATGTAAGATAAATATATTATCATCACTTGTATTATAAGATTTATTTTTTTGATTTTTAAATTTAATTGATATGGACTAATGATTAAATTTGAAACATATGGCTTGCAGGGAACAGAAAAATTTAATTGATAATCATACTAGACCAAATGCATGGGTAACAGCAAGAAATCATAGTCGAAACTTTGCCGACTGGTTTAAAGAGAAAGTAAAAAAGCATTGACGTGCCCAATCATTTGCGATGGCTAGCTAAAGGACCTAATACATTGGCCAAACGATATACTGGATATTTTATCAATGGCTACTTGTTTCATACAATGACGCGGGATGCCCCGTTGATGACTCAAAATAGTGGAGTGACTTTGTCAACAACAACTAATAGTTTTGCTAGTGCTAGGGACCAAAATCCCATTGATGGAGAGGTTCTCTACTATGGAGCTGTTCAGGATATCATTGAGATTGATTATTGGGGCCGCTTTAGTGTTGTACTATTTAGATGTGATTGGTTTCGTAATGAAGTAGATGAATATGGGTTAACTCGGGTATACTTTAACCGATTATGTAGTACTGATGACTCTTTTGTGTTGGCATCTCAAGTACATCAAGTTTTTTATGTAGAGGATCCAATTGAGAAAGATGTTTATTATGCAAGAAATAAAGTCCCTGTTGATTTGTATGATTTGGAGGAAGAGAATATTCCTAATGTTGGGGAGATATTTTGGAGGGAGCCTAATGATGAAGCAGGTCCATCAACTAGATTAAGTGATATTGATTTTAGATGGTCAAGAGAAGATGTACCTCTTGATGTTATTGATATGCCAACTGATGCACAATATTCACAAGATACAGTTATGGAAACATCAGAAGAGGAGGATGATGTAGATGATACGGATTGGGATTGGATGAAGGCTCATGATTGAGGAAGAAACTTCTGATTTTTATTTGTACTTTTATCTTCATTGTCTTCTTTCGAACATTTTTTTGTTCTTGTGTAGGCTCTTGGAGTTTTTAGTATATGTTTAGTACTTGAAATTCTGGTGCTTCTTTTGTTCTTCTGGTGCTTAACCAAGCAGAATTGATCTTGAACAGAATAGTTCTGGTGCTTCTTTTGTTCTTCTTTCACTTTGTCTGCAGCATTTCTTGCTCCCTCTGCCAAAACTTTATCCGACATGGTGATATTTTCTAGTTGTGTGAGCATGTGAAAGCATTTTGATATTTTCTGATTCAAACTTAAAGTGACATGGTGAGTCAGGTCATAGCACTTGTTACCTGCTAACATATCAAATTTGGTAGCACTGTGGAGAGATTATAAAATCTTTTAGGATGAATTCTATTACTATAGAGCTAATTGTGAGACTTACACTCTTTTCTAATCTGTTTAGCTTGATATCATCTTTTGATTTAGCAACTGCATTTTTTATGATCTAGTCTTGTTATTATGTTTGGCAATAGGAAAGAGTGCTAATATCACCAAATCTTTTCATGCAGAGTACATCAGAGTTTCGTCAGATTTGATAGATATGAGTCAAGAAAGACCTTCAAAGCCCAAAAGAAAGACAAGCGCAACATACACAAAACCCGGAACAACGACATCTTTGGCAAACCAAATAAGAATGTCGTATAGTCAAAAATATATTATTCCCGCTAGACAATCAAACAAAGAGCAGCTGAATGTTATTGTAGAGAATCTGTCAGTAGCAGTAGCCCATGCACAAACTAGATCAACCACTTCTACAAAATATGTTGCTCTTTCTAGACAGTCAAACAAAGAGCAGCCGAGTGTTATTGTAGAGAATCTGCCAGAAGCAGTAGCCCATGTACAAACTAGATCAACCACAACACAAGGAATAGAGGAACAAGCTCAGTTGGATTCTACAACTCATGTTGAAGATGAACAATGTGAAGAACAAGTTAAGAACCTACAGACTTTATCTAAAAATATTTACATCATATTTCTGTCATAAAAATGTACCAACAATAGTGATTTGGTGGTTTTGTTTGGTTCGAATAGTTGAAGGCCCTTCTAATCAAACAAGAAAAAGAGGAAAAAAAAAAGATAAAAAGTGTACATGGACGACATGAGCGTAAATGGATTTTACTTAACAACATAAATCAACCCGTCAGTCCTAGTGACGTAGTTGTGGCAGAGTTTGGAAGCTTCCTCGGCACATTGGCAAGGAATGTGACTCTATGTCCTCTTGATATTTTGGATTGGAGGAAGATGGACACAAAAGAGGATATATGGGAATATACCAAGGTATGAACTTCTTAAGTTTTTATTTTTGATTGAAAATCTTTCATATTTTCTACACTAACATATTTGACACCAATTGTAGAATAAACATGATATTCCTGACTCTGCAAAAAGATATACTTTTGAAACAGTTCGAGATTCCTGGAGAAAGCATAAGTGTAAATTGAAAGACTATCACTTCGACCCCTATGAAAGTGGTGAAAGCCGAATGCAACATGTCCCTGAAGATGTTCCAGTTTGTCAGTTTAAGGAACTTCTTAGGTATTGGAACTCTGAGAAACTCCAGGTATGTGACTTTTTACTTCTTCTTCTTCTTCTTTTCTTTTTCTTTCTACAGTGATTAAAAAAGCTTGCTCGCTTCCTCGCTTTAAGCAAGAAGCGAAGCGAGGCGTGAAGGGCAGTCTTCTTCTTCTTCTTCTTTTCTTTTTCTTTCTTAACGTCCAAGAAAGGGCGAAATGCTGGCATTTTTTTTTAGAAATTTAGTGCAATGTCAAAGTTTTTTTTAGTAATCCACTAGGTTGTGCCCCAACTCGTGTCTAAAACCAGCCTGTTGCATGACAATGTGCTCCAATCTGGGCAGATGTTTTGACCAGTTTGTGGTATATGTGCCCCTGTGTTCTGCACATATCTGCCCCTGGGTATTGTTATTGTTGTTTCTTTCTGGGATTGACAACTCAAATAAAATGAGTAATATCCATCTACGTTGTGAAATATAACGAATAGTACCCATATAGACTACCCAATCATATCTGATAGTAATAATCGTTCACCAAGTCACTGCCAGTTTGCCACTTTTACCGAAAATGATGATACCGCTTTTGAAGACCATGGCATTACATCCACCATACTAGAGTACATGCCAAGGTGGAAGCCTCTCTGTTCAAATTGAGAAACTCCCTGTATCTACTTTTTTGGCCTATTTGAATCAGCAGTAAACCATCCAAAGACGATTTAAAATCACGACATACAACCACATGTTAAGTTTTGACAAGAACTATACTTTCGGCTTAGGTATAACATCTCAGATTCACCTACGACCTCCAAAATCTAACTACTATTCCATATTAATAGAATACAATCATAAATGATAAATGAAAAAATCGAAATTTGCTCATTCAAATTCTTGCCGTTGCGCCTGGAGATGAGGACGCGATTCGCTCTAAAGTGGTGGCATTAATCAAAGCTGATAGTATTGAAGAAGCACTAGTTGCTATTCAAGAGTCCAAAAAAGCTTCTATTGATCTTAGCTTTTTCAAGGTAATTTATACTTTATAAGAAACTTTGCAGATAAATATTTGACCATTGAACTCTGCCTAACATAGCTGGTGCCGAGTTCGGATAAATTAGAAGGGTTGTTACAGGCTAAAAGGCCAGACAAAAATAGTTTAACTATCATGGATCCTAACATTAGAGGCCTGGATAGAGGGGACTGGATACATAGACAATAAATTGAAAAATCTAACTAATTCGTGATTGAAGTGTTGTTGTAACTTCAGTATGAGAGCAATTACTCGAGTTCCCTAACTTGTAAATTTCACCTGAAATGGAACTTTAATATTTGGATTATCTGAGCTACTTTTGTGATCCTAGTCGCACTTTTTTCTGCTGTGACATAAATATCTGCTAATATCAGTTCCAAACATTTCCTTTTACATGAATATGGTGTAGCCGTGTAGGTAGATGCAACTCTCTTTGTACTGTAAAGCTTTAGAAGCTGATCATAAATGAAAATAATTGAGTGTGAAAGGCTTAAAATGGTTAATCAGCATATCAGGCGATCAATGACAACCAAGAAAGAGGATTCTATTACATGTCCGGTGAGAGCTTTTAGCTTTATAAATTGACATTGCTCTATTTCATATAAGGCCAAACTAATTAAAGGTAAAAGTATTGGAATAATGTTTCTATATCAGATAAAGACATATACATATAGAAGAGTGCTCTGGTATATTCATATATTACTACTTTCACACTAGAACGCAGTCACTCACACCCTCATTGGCTGTGTAATGTCTATGGATATGTTGCTTTATGGAATGATCAATATCCATATAAAACAGTGTTGGTATTTCACTATTACACCAGATAATGCGCCTAGGATCCAGATGCATTACCTACTTATTCTCCCCATC